CCCCAAAACCCCAAAACCCCAAAACCCCAGGCTCATAAATAATTCAAAAAAAATGAGTTTAATTATAATTTCAGAGAGATTTATTTTAAATGGTTGATAACAAGAAAATAAAACTTCCGCAGCACTTGCAGTTAGATAGTGTTAGTCCAGCGACTAGACTCTTAGAAAAGAGAAGGGCAATGTATGAAGTGTAAAAGGCATTTGAAGATTAGAAGGAAGAATTCCAAAAGAAAGAGGAGCGTTTCAAGATGCGTGAAGCTGAACTCAGAGAAAAGGACATTTTGATTCAGGATCATCTGATTAAGTTCAGTACATTCCTGCAATAGCATGAGATGCGAAGAAAGAAGGATATGGAACTGGCTTAGTAGGAGAGGGAAAGAATAAAGGAAAAAGAAGAGGATATTGAGCGTGGAAAGATTGCACTGGAAAGCTTAACTGCCAAAGCCGACAAAATAGAGAGAAAAGTGAAAGCTATGAAAAAGTTCGAAATGTTCTTAGAGAGAGTGAAGGAAAATAATCCAGATGAATTCTAAGAGTTACATGATATTCTGTCTAGATATCAAACATTGAAAGCATCTAACGAAAGGCTGCAAGAAAATTAGAGAAAATTCACAGAGGAAGTAGATATGTTGAATAAATAAATAGCGATTTATACTAAAGACATGAATACTGAGAAAATGACTTTAAATAATAAAATAGCTACTAAGCAATAAAGGCTGGAAAAGATAGAGGACCAAAAGGGTAGACTAATGGCAGAAAGTGAAGAAAATACCTCTAAAAAAATGAAAAAGACTACTGAACATGGTTAAATTCTTATGACTATAGATAATTTATACCAGAAGTGCATAAAAAGACGGGACATGATTATTTCTATGAAAGAAATCATGGAGAGGGAGCCACCAAAGAATTTCGATGATATGCAGTTAAGCGGAGAAAACGCCTTAGCTCAACTAGGAATTATCAAATAATGCTTGGAGAACTTCATCAGACTTAAGAGAGCCTTGGATGAAAAGCCAAATATCAAAGAGGAAAAGTAGAGGAAGAGAGAGAATAATGAAATTGTATGACAAGTCAACGCTCTTTCAGAAATATGATACATATAAATTAAAATTTATTGATTTACTATTATTTTAACCTAGAAATTGTTAATTTTTTGAAATTGGGGTTTTGGGGTTTTGGGGTTTTGGGG